TCTGTGCTGTGACCTTCTGGGCGTCCTGGAGCTGGATCTTTGTCCCTCCGCCGCCTCCTTGGCCCTTTCCAAGGCTGCCATCAGCTCCGTTTGGCTGTGCCTGATATTCTCCGTTTGCGCCTGCCGCTTGGCTGCATTGGCTGCTATTTCGCCGATCGTGACATCTTCGTCGTCCATGCTCTCGTCCGCCCTGGCACCGGGAACCTGTTCGCTTCCGCAGCTGTGCTTGGCCAAACTCACTGTGGCTTCTTGCAGCTGCTGTGTCCAGGATTCCTCTGCCTGATTGAACTGTGACAATGTTTCCTGCATGGATTCCACTTGTTCCTTGAACATCTGCGCAACACCAGAGATATACTCTGCCCAAGAATCCAAGAAGACTTGACGATCTCTTGCCAGCTTCTGCAATGATGTTCTCGCTTCTGTTTGCTTGTGCACTTGTCTGTGCATCAGCTTGCCCTCGGCTCGCGCATGATCTTCTTTGTAAGCATTTACCTTTTCCCTCAAGGCTGGTGGAACATCCTCCTTGTCCCCCAAATGCGCGAGCAATTCCCCAATGAGGTCTTTGTCTGCATTGCTGGAAGATGCACTGGGTCCTGTGAGAGTCTTGGGAAGGGTCGCCTTCTGCATGTTTCCAGCGCCCATCCTGCCATTGCGTGGCGTTGTCCGGCAATGGATTCCGCCTTCTTGGTGACCATGGCCGCTGTTGGGATCTTGGGGACTTGGGTGCCTTCCATGCGGCCTGCGATGCATATGATGGGTAACTCACCTGCTGCCAATGAGAACCACATGAATTGCAATGCACCGCTGAGTGCTTGCAGTGCCTTGCGCATTGATAACACCACCACGGCTCGCGCGTGGTTGCCATTGCGTTTGGCAGCCGACTGCACGAATGATGATTTCTTAGTACCGCGACTGACTTCTGCACCTCTTCCTGTGGATGCAGACCCGGGAACCTTTGTTCTACTCTCAAGACTGTGCGTGAATGCGTTCTGGAGCGCCTTCGCCACCTGTGCCAGGCAGGCTCTTGCCGGCTTGCCGTGGTAACGGGCCGCTTTATCGAACGGCCCCCGCTGATTCAAGGCACACGCTCCAGGCCCTCCAAGTTGCACCGCCGCAACTGAAGAGACCCACAAAAGCACTCGAACTGCAAACCACAATCTCATGCACTGACGACAACACCAATGCACTGCAAAGAAGTGTGCCGATCAATAAGCCGTAACCAGAATACCTCGTCGGTCTAGGAAAGACAGCGAAGAGGGGCCACCTGGTGCGGGCACACTGCTGCCTCGCTATGGGTCCGTCGGATCACAAAGGGATTGGACCTGCACAAAGGTAGGAAACTGCAAGCCCTTCTTGACCCCTGACGCCTAGTAGTAGTAGTGGCGTAGGGTCTGTCAACAGGGCCTGGCGTAGGCCACAGGTCCTGCCGACAGGGTCTGTGGCAGGGCTGTCATAGGCCTGTGGGTAGGATCAGACAGGGCAGGCCATATCATAGGGCTGTGGTCAGGGGTGTACAGAGCCTGCCATAGGGCCTGTGGTAGCCTATGCCTCGGGGGTTCTTTATCGAAAGGACACAAAGTCCTCCTAAGCAATAAGCAGGGCAGTCAGTTAGTGAGGGTAGCAGTGTGCACGATGGGAAGTATTGTCGAAAGACACTAATAGCACATTGTCACGCAATACCTCGTCCGATTTTTTGTGCGGGTGGCAGTAGCTACATGTGCAGCCTACCCTCGACTTGCGAATGGAGACACTGACATGGAATTGCATTTTACGGCAGTGGATCATGGAAGCATCTCAGAGCAGGGGCGTAGATGTATCTTGTGCAAAACATTGCCTGTCTATGACGGTATCGCATAGTAGTTTGAGTTGACGGAGTCTCGTCGCCCGCCGGCGATTCCGATGGGAGGTACAAGTACCCTGCAAGCTGGGCGTCGGTAGCGGGCCGGCAGCCACCACCCACGGACAAACCTGCGTGCGAGCTCTCAGCAGAAGTGCCTACGTAGTGAAAGACATGTAGGCTTGGCCTCTCAGTTCACAATGCAGCTTCTAGCTGAAATCGTGTTAAGCTTGTTTGGCCTTGCAAGCCAGCAGCCACACAGACTCATGGGAATGCTTCGTATAATTAGCAATTGTGGTCGCGGGTCCGGGGGAAAGGTTGCCAAAGCAAGCTGGTCAGGGTTGGTGATGATCAGCGCCAGCATGGACAATCACAAAGTCTTTGTAGCACACTGCGGCCGAGTGTACAACCCTTGCTGCGAGCACCTTAAGCTCTTTGAAGACCGTGCTGTGCTGTCAGTTATGTTTCTATTTGTCTCGGTGAGGCCGATCGCGCTTTGAGTCCTTCACGCCCTGAGCGTAGCTTGCATGTTGATCGCACTGCGTCCTAATGCAAAACCTTCTCAAGGGTCTTTCAGCTGCGACTTGTTACAATCCTGACGGCATGCGTTCAGACACCAACCTGAATGAGCAACTTTGATGGAGGATTGTACTGTTGCCTAGCCAGCAGCCGGTTGCAGTTGGATCCTTGCGTTAGGAGAGTCGAAGTCACCGACAAGAAAGTCTGCTTGTGAATGTATTTCCACGCCATTGCAAGATGTGAATCATAGCTGTCGGGTTTGCCTCGGTTTGAGAGTGACTCCTATCTTCCGGACATGTCCGTGCATGCCAATGCTGCGAGATCGCGCAAAGACTGGAGCAATTCATGCATGCAGGGGTTTCCTCAGGGCTTCACTTGGCATGGGCACAAGCTGTCCTGGGTGACAAGCCTACCTGTCGGTTTCGGCACTGAAGTCAACGACAACGTGGTACATGACAAGCCACACCTTGTTTCATCAGACCCGAACATCCGAATGCGAAGATTCAGCATGGAGCGCTGTTGACCCCTGCCTCCCCGAACTCAGCTGGTCAAGACCCTGCAGAAGCAGGGGGCGGGCTTGGGATCTTCCGTCCTGCACCTTTTACTGCACCTTTTGCTGCAAACGGTCTTGGATTGTACACAACAGTTCTGTGCCAATGAAAGGTGCTGTGGAAAGGTGTCGGTTTGATGCTCGTAAGCAGCTTGCAGCTGATTTCCCTCTGACTGGCCACAGGAACTTCTGGGGACAAGTTGTGTTGGAAGAGTAAGACGATGCCACCTTGGATGCCTTCGGAAGATTCTGGCAGTGCGAGCGACGTGCCCAGGAGTTCCTCAGACCATGTACAAAGTTCCAGAGTACAACGATGCAGGCGGGAGAAAGGCTCTCCGCTCGCATTCCGGAGCCCTAAGCCGCCACTCGGCGTGCTGACTAAGGTTCAAACAAGTATCTCGGTTCGCGAATTGCAATCGAACGAAAGGGCCAAGATTCGATGGGCGGATGTACAGCGGTTGACCTGGCAGGTGATATGAAAATGTTCACATCCTGCTCGAACCTTTCGCCCCCGAGAGGCTGCACGGCAATTCGAGTTGAAGTCCGGGGAGTGCAGGCCCTGTGGCATTGCTGCCTCGCCCTTGTGACTGCAGCTCAGGTTGTTTGTAGAAATGACAAAGCCCGTTCCGAGCGGGATGTGCATATCCATCATGCACGTGCGTGAATGTGCTTTGCTGGGACCCCTGTGGGATGTGCCATTGCCACGATTTTCGCCTTTCGTCTGGGCTGTGATTAGTTGGGTAGGAGCTGCGAGCATGGTAGAACTGGCTGAAAGCCATGGACAGACAGTGGGACCCGGCAAAGAAGGAGTCTACGAAAGAAAGCGTGACCCTTTACATTGCGTCCAGCCGTATACTACGAGCCACAAGTGGGTGCAGGAGGTTCCGTAAGCAAGATGCTTGAGTTGGCCTCGACGGCTTTCGGAGTTCCTGTTGAAGCTGCGTTTGCTGCCATTGTAGTGCCCACCTGTTGTCATCGTCTGACCCAGCTACCGCGTTGTGGGTGCAAAAGAAGCTCCCGGAGCTGGTTGCTACGAGGTAGCTCGGGTTAGCTTTGCCTATCCAGAAACATCCTGCTGAGGCTGTGCAGTAGATCGCAACGTGTTGCTTGGCCTGTTCGCCTTGCCTGCCGCTCGATCCTTTCCAGCTTCGGCAGGGACCCACAATGAACGCAAGCACAAAAGATCCTAGGTAAGCCTTGTACCGGGTCAGCGGGTCAGCGTTTTCCTAGCAAACCCCGGGCTTCCGAGCTTGGCGGAAAAGAATGCCTTCCAGAAAGCCAGATTCAGTCGATGATAATCCTGCAATCGTTCTCCACGTGCAACACGTTGCGGAATGAACGGCTCTGAGACGGCCGTGTGGGCCCTGGCAGGGGAGGGTGTTGGAGGTCAAGCGAGCCAGACTACGGTTTCGTGGATCACTTTGAGGCATTCAGCAGGTCATGTCCACGCAAGCTGAAGTTCAAACGCAGTTTCAAAATCTGTGTGATTTAGGCCGTGATCACGAGTTTGGTAGCCTGTAGCAGCGTGAAGCAGTGTTCTCCGCTGCCTTGAGGAAGTTCCTCACCTGCCTCCGGCCATTCGATATGCAGGCCTGATTTGTTGTTGCTCCAGCCTCGGGCTGACAGGATGGGTTCGAATGCCGAAGGTGCCCACAGACGGGATTGACTCACGAATCGGGGTTCCAGCTGTTGCCGTTGAACGCGTGGCCAGCGATGAGGAGTGCCTTAAATAAAGGAAGCCTTCTAAATCCCTGAACTTCTTGACTTTTGCGAAGAGGCATACCTGTAGTTTCAAGGGTTGTAGAGGGACCCTAAGCCCTAAATCCCCCACACTATCTAACTATCTGTCTGTCTGTCTGTCTGTCTATCTATCTATCTCTCTATCTATCTATATCCTAGACAAAGTTCGGATACAGGCCCCGTAGGCTTGAGGAGTGGTGCCTTACGGTATCACGCTGCTGCCTTTCGCAGAAGCGTTGCTTTCTTGCACTTGAGAGCGACTGTAGCGAGAGTGGACGGATTTGCTGGTTCCAGGCAGTAGCGGCAGTAGCATTACAACCTATGTACTTCCCCCTCGACCGGTTCACGTGGCAGGTTGGTCTGCAGTTTCGCTTACTGCAGCATGCTCAGATGGGCAGTCTGTCCGGCAAGCCGGTACACTTTTCCGGCAGGTGTAAGGCATGGAAGACAAGAAACCAGGATTCGGTCTCGGGGACTGCCGGCCCATGTGACAGTCACGGAGCCAAGTCGCTTGTTAGAAGTTAGAAGACTCAGTAGGGTGAGTTGCCCGAGGTCTTCTTGCTGGCTTTTGCCATCCTCCAGGTAGATGCCAGCTCCCAAGGGTATGTGGGGTGAAGCACCCGTACGACAGCCAAACAGTTCTTAGCTGGTCTGGAGCATCAAAGCTGTCAGCAGCAACCAAGGACATCATGAGCTTATTTTGGCTCGGCTCCGTGGTCAATGTGGCCGGTGGCTCAGAGCAGATGCACCGCATGGACTGATGCAGGGCATGGAGCGGACTGCAAGATTGCCTAAGTGCTGGTTGTGGCTACGTGGGGCGGGAACTAGTGCAGTCGTCTCGGCTTCTGGAAGCAGGCACTGTCCGTCACGAAGATGGGCCTTGCGCAGGCCACCGTGCATCACAAGGCTCGAGCTGAGTTCCAGCAGCGTACATGTATGGCAAGTTTGTCTACACGGCGACTGAGTCGTCCTGGGAGGCCTTGATGGCCGATGCCGTGCATGGACTGGGAGACACTGCCGCCGAAGTGGCATGACACCTACAATCATCGAAGGTTGCACCATTGCTTTGCCTCGCAGTCGTTTTACGTGGTGCTTCTGAGCTGGCACGGTTTGCGTGATCAATACTTGACTAGTCCACACCGTCGTGCGCAGCAACTCTCGCATCTTGTGAGAAATGACGTCTTTATGCGACCTCCGCTGGTGAAATTCTCAGCAGGTCACAGCACTCGCCTATGCGGAAGCTGCGCGCCCTCCCGACAAGGCTGACGCCAGCCATGCCTGGTCGATCTAAGCCAGCAACGCTTCACAGTCTGTACAGTCGATAGGAGATGCTGGTGGAAAGCTACTGGTGTGTTAGGATGTCCTGCAACCTCATCCCGATGTGACAGCCGCAACACGATGCCACAGCGAGGAGCATCCCTGGGGCCATGGCAAGATCGAGTCCATGGGAGCTGTCGGCGCTTCTTGGTAGATTGCATAGCCCAGTCCGGTCGGTGTAATCCAGCAAGCGGCGGATGGATGCCGTCGAAGCTGACGTCGCACCCGGCAGTGTCGAGATGTGACAGGCCAAATTTAGTTTAAACTAGTCTGACTGGCAAGGGGAGTTGGCAAGCACGGGACTGCTGAGTAGCTGTACCACAAAACATCCATGCATTTAGCGCGGAGGCAGATGGTTTGCACATTGGCTCTCACAGCTTGAGCAAAGTTGAGCAACATGTCTCAGTTTGCAGATTGACGAACTGCTGGGCCAAGGTTACTGGCATTCTTTTGTACATAGCTTTCTCAATGGGTGGTGGGCTCGGTCGTGCTTGCTTCGCAGTGCAGTTGTACTGCTTCCCTGGTAGTTCTTGAGCTCGCAGTGTGCAGGCTACGACAGCATCGTTTCCCTTGCGCCGATGCTGAGGGAGCAGGCGCACGGTCGAGGAGGCGAACCCGGCAAGCAAGGAATGGCGCCGGAAGTGGAGTGAGCTTTGCCTTTCGCTTTGGCAGATGCCAAGCCTGTCGCCAAAGACGCGACGCCGACGGAAGAGGTCCGTGATTGGTAGCTGATTGAGAGGAATTGAGGATCCTGGGGACCTTTGTACCCCTGAGCACAGCGGCACTGTTTTCACGACCCTGACTCTAACATGAAGCTTGCTACATCTGTAGCCAGGCACATCGCAGCGACAACCAGTCCGCAGGTGCCTTCGGAGCTGACTTAGTGAGGTACTGACAAGGCCGTAGAGTCAGTAGAGCTCGAGGAAGCGGTATCGGCTCTGGACTTTTGAGCCTTGGTTGATTAGTGTTGCTGTTTGGCCTCAGCTGCTGGCTCATGGGAAGAATGCCCAGAAAGCCAAGTGAACGGTCCATGGCTCCGCAGTAAAATCACCAAAAAGTGTTTGTAATCCTCTCTTTGTGAGGGCAGGGGCCCCAGAGCGAAGCGAGATGCAGGGAGGCCATGTTCGACTTCGATTCCTTGGAGGACGCAGATCCAAATCCGGACCCAGACCTCGGCCACCTGGCTGCCTTTGTCACGTAAGCATTATATATCCAGGGTCCCGTGTATATATATATATACATATATATATATATGTGGCAAGCCGACACTGCGCATGAGTCAATTCGCTTTGCTTGAAAGGGGTGTCGGCCAGTCTGCAGACCATCATTTAGTTGCTGAACAAGCTGTAGATCCTGAGCGGAATGCTGGGCGCTGGCTTGGTTTAGGTCTGCAGTGGCAGACACGGATGTTTGCCAACGTCGAATGCCGAGTTCTTGAACCGTCAGGCCAGCGGGCAAGACCGCTGTTGTCGAGCCTCGGGGTCGACTACTTATCGCCGCACTGGTGCCGCCCTTGGAATTCCTGACAGCAGGACCACTCAACCTCGTTCTCATCTTTTTCCACGGGAGTGGGACCCCTTTTCGTGTGGAGCAGGACTTGGTTGGGGTGGATGGGGTTTGAGGTTTGATTTTGGCAGCTGTGGCCTGCTGCATGCCTTGATCCTGCCAGCAACCACAACACAGTGCCGATTGATGAGTTTCGTGCTCGTCAGGAGAGGCTTTTCACTCCTCCTCGCGCCCTTAGCCTCCTCTCGGCGGGAGTGGCGGTGGTGCTGCCTGCAAGCCCTTTACGGGATGGAACGGTCCACTTCTGGTGCTCTTGCCGGATGTTCTTCGAGTGGGCTGTTTTGTCAGTGTTGTCCATATTCGGGAAGCTCAGCGGACGTAGTTCTCAGACAAGACTAACCAAAGACACAAGCACTTTGGACTTTCGGCATGTGCTCAAGCTTTGCTTCCATAGGTCACTAGTTGAGCCCTCAAGGCCATTGCATAACTTTTCGATTTCACAAAGCTGTTGAACAAAGTCGCGAAAGGCAGCGGGTCGAAGCGAAAGCTTAAGTTGTCCGCCAGAGCCCGACCCGACCGCACAGGTACAGCACAGACAAAGATGTACTGCTGGATCTGTTGACGAAGGCGAAGGAGCAGGCAAGGACTGAAAAGCAATGGCTTCGCTCTGACTTTGAGATTCGGATCTGCTAGGAGAAGGCTGTTGAAGAGGGTCCTCCTCAAAGCCGTGCTCAGCTTTCTGTCCAGTCGGCCTCCACTTCAACACCTCCACCACCACAGACACTTGGTTAGTTTCAAAACAGCAAGCGTCGCTTCCACGGATGCAGTACAGTAGCGTGACATCGCCTCTTCTGGGCCGCTCCAGCGAAGTCGGGGTGGTCACGCTTAGGAGCGCCGTCGACCAGCTGAAGGATGGGGAGCCCGCATTTCTGGATCTGTCCCGGGGCACTGCATCTTGTCGATGGTGCCACCAAACCTCCAACCTGACGAGAAATGGGTTCCAACTCTGAGGCACGAGAGGTCATCGAAGCTGCCCGAGGCGTTTTGGGCTTGAGCCTTGCATCTGTGGCTTTGGCCGGATTCTCACAAGGCCGGAACTGACGACACTTCTGTAAGCAGTAAATCCATGCGGAACTTCGGCACGGAATTTGTCGGCAACGTTTAAGTCCAAAGCTTGAGCGGCTCAAGCTGTGTTTTGCGACAGAATGCCAACTTCTCATACAACAAGGGGTATGTATGCTTCTCTCCTTCTCTCTCTGCTTCCTTATTGCGCTTGTCGCCAAAAATAAAAAGCTAGAGAACGAGCCTTGGTGGCCCAATTGATGAAGCGGATGGCACTCCGGGTGGCCGGTGACGTGATGGTTCAGTTGGTAACATGCCAAATGTCGTGCCGCTCAGGATCCTGTGTTGGGTATATTATCTTGTAGCCGAATCTTTTGCATCGGTCCGTCCGCAAGATGTCCGCATCTACACGTACCGCCTTCCAGCGTGTTCTTTGGAGCATTTTCCTGGCGAAGAGATTGATGGTCGACAGCCACTGAGGCGGAAGGCATTTCACGATGGACGCCCGCCGCTTCTGCCGATTCACCGAAAGCTCGCATACGGGCGACTGGCCACCAACGATCCCCGGAACGCGACGCACTTCTACATCCCAGCTCCATTCTTCTTCTGGGATGACTCGTGGCATTCTTCGAACGAGGCCTGCAAAGCGACAGCCTCAGAACGCATCGTAGACGCCGACCAGAAAATGATTTTACTGCCTGGCGACGTGCTCGATCTCCAAAATGCAGCCTGGCACTGCCAGCAGGTGGGTTGCGTGTTCGGTCTATGGTTGCAATTCACAGGCATTCAAGCGGACAACGAAGCCTACCCCATAATGTGGATTCTGAAATTTCGTCATAATGGCGCCAGGATTGACTTGGGCCTGAGATACGGATGTCCTGTCATCAGTACCGACACAGAGATGCTTGTGGTAGACTGCGACCGGGAGCAACTCGCAGACCAGCGCTGGCATCATATAGGTGGCATTCTTCGCATGGACATGTCTTCGACGGAGCTGCTATTGGACTTCCTCCCCGTGTCTTCCCAGCTTTCGGTGCAAAGTACGAGTGCTGAAGATGCTGTGCCAACGTCGGACTTCCACGGATGGAGATTTTGGGGCATAGAAGTTTGGAGAGAAAGAGTGCTTGCGACCCTCCCGCCTTGGAGGACTGCGAAGCCCTTTCAATTGATGCTCCAACGGTGCGCTGTCCCGTCGCCGATGGAGAGCTCGAATGGCCCCTGCCTGCAGAGAGTCATTGACTTCGTCGAGTCCCAGCCGTGGCTTAAGCGACGTCAAGGCTGGGATCATTTGGTTCTGTTCGCGGGCGTGGACTACCCGTCGGTTTTCAATCCAATTCATCCGCCTGATGACACAGACTTCGTGTTGGAGACCAGGTGGCCGGCGTTCAAGAACTTTGTCTTGCTGCATTTCGGCGCCAGATCGGAGCGATGTGTGAACCGACTGGAGAGCTTTCATCCAGCACGACGCCATGCCTTGCCTGACTTCAAGCAGTGCGAGAGACGTGTGTTCCAAACGGTCACCATACCTCCTTTTGTCCCCAACGAGGACTTCAACTGTGCCAAGATGGCCTCCTACGCGCAGGGCCGCCCGAGACCTCATCGCCTTGCTTTCCGTGGGCTGAGCTACAATGCCATGGTTGAGCGCAACTCCTTGAACCAGGCGCTGTCGGAGGCGTTTTTGCAGCAACTGCAGCTGACTGGCGACTTCCGGCTGGAGTTTACGAACTGGACCCACGAGTTGCTGGGGTCGGGCATTTGCAAAGCGGACTATGCCTTTGACCTGCTCTGCAGCTGGTCCGGTGTGAACAGGCCGGCAATGAACCAAAGCCGTTCTTCATCACAGCGCATTCAGAAAATGCGATCTCGAGCTCTCGAGCTTTGGGACAGCTCCGAGGCAGGACTTGTGCTGCCCGGTGATGGCGGCTATGAGCTTCGATTGTACAGCATGTTGAACAAGGCCACGGTGCCCTTCATTGTAGGATCAACCGGCTCAACACACGCAAAGATACCGTTTTCGGCGACTCTACACTGGAGTCGCTTCGCGATTTTCTGGGATCTCAGCAGTTCATACGTCACCATAGAAGCCCCAACTCAACCACAGCATTCTGTGAGCGTCGGGGCACACCGACTTCTGTTGCAAGCAGCGCTCATGGACCCCCAAGTGTTGAAGCGGAAGCGTCGGAACTTGCTCCGGTACGCGCCGGGGCTGTCTTGGGAGGATCACGCACCGTGCCCAGGCACGCTGAGAAAGACAGCCTTGGATTTCTTGGCACAGGAGCTTGCCCATCGCTTGTCCAAGTACGAGGCAACTGGAGCTGGACTCACTGGAATTACAGGATTGGCGCTCCACGACCGGTCCTGGAAGATCCCTGACAAGCACGTCTTCAGCAGTGAGCAAGAGGACCTAACAGGAACCGGCTGCCCTGCCGGATACCCGCTCTGCGAGAAGCGCGAATCTGGAAACGTGTGTGTGGCTCCGTGTTATGGAGGACCCTTTGCGTGCCCCGTGGGATGCAAGTTGATGGCTGACAGTCCACCCTGGTGTCGAACATCGTCAGGTGCGGCATGCGATGCTCCGATAGCAGGCAGAACCGCCATTCCCTGCGGCACGTATCCAGATCGGAACTTTCACGCACAAGTTCTGCCCTACGCGGAGAACATCGTCCGAAGGCCACGCATTGCACTCCTGACTTGGTCTGACCGGCCCGAGATCGCGAAGCTGACGCTGCCAGTCTTGGAGCGATTCTGCCAAAACCACCAAGAACGCTACGACTTGATTGTGGAGGAGGAGCCGATTTTGGGCCCTAACTCCAACTATGTGCCCGCCTGGAATAAGGTCGTGTTTCTACGCCGTCTCTTGCGGACCACACTCTACGACGCTGTCGTATGGATTGATGATGACATTCTCATCACGGAGCCTGGCAGAGATCCGATCTATGACGGGCTGAAACGGAGCATACTTGCATTGCACTCGGACGTCTTCCTTTACGCTTCCAAAGATGTTCGCGTCGATGCTCGTGTGCCGATGAACACAGGGATTCTTGGCCTCCGAGCTTCTCGGCGGGCCAGGAAGTTTCTAGAGGAATTGCTGCGCATCTCCAGGCAGAAGGTAGTTTTCGACGGCCAGGCCTTTGTACCGCAGAGGCAAGGTTGGTGGGATCAGGATGCTGTCGCTGAGTGGGTGCGTAAGAATGGACTGAAAGATGCGTACCTCGAGGAGCATCGGACGATCCAGTCCATCGTGCGTGACCTCTCGAACGGGCATTGGATGCCAGGGGACTTTGCAGCGCACTTCAGTGGCCGAACGGAAGAAGTTCGTTTACAAGTGATGAAGCAATTCCAGCAGAAGCGCCGCCGCGAGACACAGCCCTGACCGCAAAAAGTGATCCAAACTCAAGAAACGCGTTGGGAGGATGACAGCCCTGAAGTTATTTATAAGGTGCGGGAGCAGCTTGCAAAGAGAACAACTCTCACGTTTGCAGATGATGCAGAGTGTTTCACAGACAAGCCAGTGTATCTAACAAGAGAAGCCTTATTCTGCTTGGTGTGGTTGGGCGTGGTTGGCTGAGGGGCTTCCTGACAGAGGTTTTGTGTTGAATGCAAGTTCAGGGTTTCCTGCACTACTGGCCTGGCCAGTCAGTGAAGGCATGAATCTCTCAACCTTCAAAATTCCTCTGACAAGCACTTGTCGTTTAGTTTCGTTCGCGGGGCCAGGCCCGCTTGAAGATCCCGACTACGATGACAACAACGTGCTTCCTTTTGCTAGTTCGTCGTCGTTTCATCATGGTCGTGGTAAGAGTAGCAGCAGTGGAAGATGCAGCAGGTTTCGATTTCTTTATCTCTTATTTTCGACAACTAATGGGTCCATTGTCATCCACAGCGCATTTCCTAGAGCATCCATGCCCAAAGTACGATGTAAGGGACACAGTGGCAATTCGGAGGGCATCTCGTGCGCAACGCCATCAACACCACCGCGACAGCCTGCTGTCGCATCAGCAGTTACCTGCCATGTCCCCCTATTGGCAAGATCTTCTTGAGGATTTCTGTCCCCACTTCCAGGTGCTGCTGTGGCTATGGATGCGGCTTTGCACCTGCCAGCGAAGCCAGCGGCCTTGGGGTTCTTCTCGGGCTCGCTCATGTGCAGGCCTACCAGGGCCTACCACCGATAGACGCTGCAGTAGGAGCTTCGCAACACTTGAGTTTGCGCTGCCGAAACAGAGTCTATAATGTCTATACAAGAAGGCACCTGACAGTGTACATGTGTACATGCCGTACCAGCACTACAAATCAGCGGACCAGGGGAACTTAGACTCAGGCATCACATGATATTCATCCTTTTGCTTTCGCTGTTTTCTTCGGGTACATCCAAAGTATATCAGCGTTTGCCACAGTCTCGAAGACTGACACTGAGAGGTGTGGAAGTCGGATGCCCGGACTCCCCAAAGTCTAAGTCCACACTCCAAGCCCACCCCCCAACTCTAGCGCAGACTCTAGCAGAAATAGAATCATACAGTGCTTGAAAGGCTTGAAATTAGAAATTGGGTTCCACCGCTTCGGCAAACCAGTCGAACTGATCGTGAAAACGGTCACTCGTTTTTATGGGCAAGGGTATTCACGGCGGCATCAAGTCCTGGTTAAGCTTCTGCCAGCTGTGTGTACCATACTGCAGCCCGGCTTCCGTCTCGTCCTCCGCCCAACGTGACATGTTAGGAGGCGGTGGCGTGAGCGGCTTCCGCTCCTGAAGGCATCGCTTCCATTTGCTTGTTGCCCTGTTCCTAGTCTTCAGCCACCCGAAGAGGGCCATGTAACTAAGCCCTGCGAGTAGGACCGCATGCCCGAAAACGCGTGGTTCCCACATACATGAGCAAATCACTTGTGAGTCTGTTGAATTTCGATGGTCTTTGTCAGTCTTCGTCTGTACGTGTACATTGCATGGGGCCAGGGCTGGAGAGATCTTGCACTTGTTCAAGGCCACGGCCGAGGAGACTGGGCAGTGGGCCTGGGAACCCGGAGACTCTCTGCTTTTGCCAAGCAGAGTGCAGTCTGCATGAAGTGGGAACGTTGAGAGTCTTACTCCTGTCAGAACTTCTCAGAACCCCTACCTACTCGTGTCTACTTGTACTGCCAAAGCTGCTACCGGAGCCTGTCCTGTAGTGGTTCTGCCGATGTGCCGTCCGCAGTCTGTTGATGTCTTTTGCCAGTAGCACCCTGTAGCCGAGGAGTTGCCACACTTGTGGATAATGTACACCCGAATAGTGCGGCCAAAGGGTTTTGCTGAACGAGGTGTCAATGGCGGTCGCTGGATGCGGGACTTCTGCCGCGATGAGTGTCCCAGCGACATGGAAATGTACATGCTGTTCCTCGTTCTTGAAGCTCCTGCGACTTGAACCTCCTTGTGCAGCTGAGGATTGGGATGCAGCAGGCAGAGTACCATGAGTTTCAAGGCAAGCTTTGCTAGGTTTTCCTTGCTATGACGATTATGCTGACCTCTTAGAAACAATCGTGACGTTGACAGGAGGCCACACGATTCCGCCTGACTTAGCCGACCGCTTTATCGAGATGCTGCTCCGTGCCTCTCACGCAGCAGCTGCTTGAGCTCCGTTGGGCTTTGGACAAGTGCCGGACCTGGCTTTCGCAGTCGGGGAGCTTGGAGGCCCAGGCGCGAACACCCGGAGGAGCAGGCGGCCCGCGGCGACAAGTAGGAGCTCCCTGCTCCATGGGCAGAGCATGCTGAGATCGGCATGCACCACCTGAAGTGGGCACGTCGTGGCATGGCCCTATTGGAAGATGGTTGCGATCGTTCCGCCTAGTGCTACACCCCTAGACGACGGGCTTGTGCAGAAGCCGAAACTTTGCGCCACTGCAAAACTTCAGCTGTGCATCACCTCGCCGATGCTCCTTGCTCGTGGCGCCCGGCGCAGAAAAAGCTGCTAGCAACACGGTGGGGAACCAGCGGAGTGGATTCGGCTTAGCATGAAGGTTTCCAGAAGAGTGCGAGACGAGCTGCCATCGCGGTAGGCTGCCGGCTGAGCCTTTTGGATGTATCGTCATCAAGATGGCTCGGAGAGTCTTAGCATCCTCATGCCGAGGTTTGGCCTCCATCTTACTGAAGGAGGCTTGTCTTTCGTCCAGCTCGCTGCAGTCACAGAGAAGTTTGCAAGCCTTGTGACATCATTCGTTCTGCATTTCCTCGGCCGACAGGCCCTGTACAGAGCAACGCTCAGTGCAGGGGAACAGGTGCAGAGCCGTTCTCAGCTGCACCGGGATTGGAGACTCTCCCGGGCATTCCTCTAGAACTTGTCTGTACAAGCCGCTGTCGGTTGTCGTCATGTGAGCCACGTGTGCGATGGCCCGAGGTCGAATTTGGCAGCAGCCGCCTCAGTCGGTGCGGAATGTCACCTCGCTGAAGACCCTGGACCCTGCTGACAGCCTGCAACTGATGGTGTTCGTGTCATCCGGCTCACTACCTGAGGTAGCCACTGCTTGGCATCACCGATCGGATTCCCTGGCAGTGGACGCCTCACATCGACTGGCACTCCAAAGGGGTATGGATACCTCTGCTGTCATCTAGTCTAGAATCCAGTCGTGAGCAGCGCTAGAGACTGAAGGCCGGAGTGGCTTTGGCTTCTCAGCTGGGAGGAGCCTCAGGCCCAGTCCGGCTCGGCGTGGCCCTTTGGAGTGAATGGCGAGCGTTTCCTGCGATCGGAAGCCGAGGCGGTTGGAGCATGGCAGGGCTTCGACCCACTAGGCCACCGGGCCTTAAACGGCCAGGCAATTGGGCCAATGTGCCTTTCGACATACCGGATTGACCTCGCCTGGCTTGCCCTAGTTGTGAGTGCTGAAACCGCCAGCCAGTAATGTGAGGACTTGAGTCTTCCGTACTGCGGGGGTTTGTTATGGTTTCAACCTCGGGCTCCTGATGCGATTAGCAGAGCATGGGTATTACCTGTGACATGAGAGGCAGTGGAGTGGTGGCCGTCCGCCACTCAGCAGGGAATCGGAGGGCCAGGAGTGGTCCACTGGCCTCAAGCTGTTGAGCGATAGTTTTCGTCAAAGCAGATCTCAGACACAAGCTTACCAGGCTGTCAAGACTTTCGTGCCCCTGGTTATCCCACATTGCTTTAGCCGTGCCGGTGTGGCGGTTTCTTATGCTACCCCCCCCCCCCCCCCCCCCCC